CACTTCCATCAGTGCCAGGGTCTCCACGGTCGGCGCGTATTAAAGTTGTGTCTCTCGAAAGACACATAGCACGGCTGGCGCAGTGTCAAAGGGGAGTGTATTAGTAGGTATTAACTACTAGTACTAATATTGCCCGAAGGCTCATCCCAATTCGTAAATGCAAAAGCAAGATTTGCAGTGGAAATTGGAGCACTATGGTTTGCGTGGTTTTCGAATAGATAGAAGGTAGTACAAGTGGTATGGTACCGTACACAATAAATAGGCGCCGAGAGTGATGGCGAGGGGCAGCTAGGTGGAGGAGGGCGTTGGTTGGAGCTGCAGGCAGTGAGGGTACTTCACCCACAGCACACGGTAGTTGGGGTGGCCGCGAAGTGAATACAATACTTGGAGCACAGTGGTGCGAAGGGGGCAGTGGGGAAGTTGGAGCCGGAGCCACCGGCGAACGGACGTCATCCAGCCAATGAACGTGAGCTGGTGCCATGCATCCGGTGGTAGTGGGGGTTGGTCTTCATACTGGATCAAGTTGTGTTGGGTCCAGATGAGGTGGAGGATCGTGGCCACGAGGTGTGTCCACAGTAGTTGTATTGCGTCCTTACGTGGGACACTGCAGGGGTTGACAGCGAAACTGTCAACGTCGAAGATTGACTCGCACGAAAATGTGACACCAAAGCGCCGCCAGGCGGATGCATGAAATAGCCAAACTGGGTGCACCCGGTGGCACGAGTGGAAAGTGTGTGACTGAGTCTCAATGATGCCACACCCGTACGTACAGTAGATGGCATCGGGGCGGGTAGTTTGCAAGTAGAAGAAGCGGCTGTTAACTGGCAGCATGTGGAACAACAGGCGTAGCCAGACATCACTTTGGATGGGCGGCGGCAGGCGAAAAGTCTGTCGAACACGCTGGACGTAGCTGCGCAGCGATGAGGGGTTGTCGCGGGCTAGTGTAGACATTGGGTGTGGAACTGGCTCGTCGGGAGCGTGGAATGACATGAGTACGATTGACAGGGGGGGTGCCACGGAATGAAAGCTGGACGTGGTCGTAGACACGCGAGAGATGAGTATAAATCATCCCTGAGCGATGTACAGGCGCCCATCGCATGGTCCCATTTGGTGCAATTTCGATTGGGGCGTGTGGGTTCTCATTTGACATCCTCGTCACGAACTCAGTTCGAGACGGCCATACTCCGTGGACATCGAGCATATCCCCGAGACTACGGATGCCACTGCAAGCCCCGTGTAGACACCAGCGACGAGTGGGGGGCGAATTAATGATGTTAGCAGCACACTTGCCATCGCCAATAGAGAAGGGGTGAACGTGGTTAGCCATACTGGTAACTGCATGGTAGCCGCTAAGGTAGGGGGCAGTGGTATTCGGAGGGCCACGGGGACGGCTGCCCACTGTGACCACACATTTACCCACAGTGGGTGTAGGTCCCAAAGCATTAGCCACTTCGAGCGGTGATGGGAGTGGTAGAAAAGGAAGTCAAATGGATGGGAGATACGGTGGAGCCTGCCCATCGTCCTTGCGAACTGGCGACACACCAGCGATTTCCATGGGAGGGATTCCGTTTCAGGGTGTTGCATGAGGCACTGCAGGTGAAGGAGTCGCTGGCCTCGGAGCTTGGATGCGACATGAGGGATGCCGAGGCCCACACGGGGATCATATTGCCATGTCTGGCGCAGGAGGGGTCGGTAACGGTCAGTGGGTAACACCTTACGGCCCAGGATATATCGGCTCAACATGGATTGCCACGAATGCACCATCACTGCAGGGACAGGAGTAACAGACGTTACATGCCACAGGAGGGACAGTATGATAGTGTGCACCAGTAGCCGGCGCCCTTGAATCGTACGAGCACGACATCCCCAGTGTTTAAAACACGAGAGAAAACGGTCGTTAACCAGCTGGATTTGGAGGTCGGGGGGTAGCTGGTGGCCGAATTGGATGCCAAGGTATTTCACCGGTTGGTGGGTAGCCAGTACATTGAGAAGCCCCCCGTCATCGATCTCGGCTGGGTCGAGGTGACAGCAGGCAACAACGGTGCAAGACCTACGAGATAATCGTTTATCTGACGGCTCCAAGAAGGGCTACCGCAGTGGACTGCGGCAGATTGTTGCGTGGCTGCGTGGAGCAGGTCAAACCGGTTCAATAAACCCAGACGGATCTATCAACCTTGACGTCTTCACTTATGAAGACGTCCGTTAAGAACAAGGGTCATACATTTTGACTGGTTGAGGCGGGCACCAGATACAACACAAAACTCGTCCACGATGGCCATTTGCTCAACCGCAGAGGGGAGGTCTCAAGGAAGTAGGGTCGAGTCATCTGCGAAGAAGATGCTCGTTGAAACGTCGCCGTTGGGAAGGGGGATGCCGAGTTGTGGATGTTGGCGGAGCATGTCCCCTAATGGCTCGATGTACAGGAC